TTCCCCTCTCTCTCTCTCCATGTCCCCCCCTTCTCTCTCTCTCTCTCCATGTTCCCCTCTCACTCTCTCTCTCTCTCCATGTTCCTCTCTCTCTCCATGTTCCCCCTCTCTCTCTCTCCATGTTCCCCTCTCTCTCTCTCCATGTTCCCCCTCTCTCTCTCTCTCCCCATGTTAATGTAATTGACTGATTAGTGATATTATTATCGCTCTGGATCCAGGAATAACCCAATAAACACAATGAACCCCGGACTCACCCTCCGCTCCCAGCAGCCAGCTCTCAGAGTGCACTGATAAAGCGGAAGTGACGTCAGGCATTGCGGCGCCATGATGGATGAGGGCAAGCAGGATCCTGTTTCATCCCGTGGAGTATTATGGGTAATGGACACTGACATTAAGGATTGGAATTCTCATACAGCACAATGTGCCCGAACTGACTGAAATCAATCCGCTAACGGCTGCCTGTTGCCCACACTGCCCTCATCCATCATGGCGCCGGGCGGGCGGATCCTTCTCCGTGACGTCACTTCCTTTCCCCATCTCCTGGGATTCCTTAGCAGTTTGGAGTGACAGTGACAGGATGAGAGAGCAGGAGAACCTTTTCATTGCTCAGCTACATGGTAGCAGTGTAGTTTCTGTGATTTATTCTGCTTTACTTGAACAATATATGAATGTAGTGCCATCTGGAGAAGGTATTAAAGTGACATAGATTTTTATCCATTTCTGGACATGTTCCTGTTACTAATTACTCACATGGTATTTACCGTATAGGCCGGCAATAGGGGCGACTGGAACCTCTTACCGTATTTATCTACCATGCATTACATTAACCGGCTCAGCCACAGCAACCTGAATCTTTTTATAATTTTCATATTTCCTTTATTTCACAGATAAATCCCTTATTTTTTATCTGTATGTGGGATTACAGTATTTATGGAGATATCTACTAAACACGTATACATGCGCACAAAATCATATACACACACTCACAGACATACATATTCCCTCTGTCAGTCCCTACGTTGGCTTCCCGTAACATATAGGACTCAATTTAAGATCCTGATACTTGCTCACAAATGGGTTAATGTAATTATCACAGGCAGGAATAATATACTATAAGTGTGTGTGCTCTTGCGAAAGAAAAATATAACCGCTTTTTATTTATATACCGGTATATATATATTTTTTTATTACATATATATTTAATTTCATTGTACTTGATATGTCTCTGTATTATATGTTTTAATATGTATAGTCACTAAAGTGTGCTGTTATAAGGCATTTATAAATCTTTTATTAAATATTGTATGTGCATTAAGCACATTAAAATACTGTAGTGCCATTGAGAGTTTCTAATATCTCCCCCACCACCCTTCTTCTTTGCCTCCTGTCCGTATACACTGCATATATTGGCCTCTGAGATCAAGAAAGAAGAAGAAAAGTGATTAATTGTGATGAACTTCCGGTTTTTGGACCCTGCTGAAACGGTTTGCTGGAACGCATGAGTCATCGGACGGCGCACGTGATGACGTCACAGAAATCAGACCGAAAAACAGAACACCTGTTTGGAATAACTTGTTGTGTGGACATTGGGGGAGGTATAAAGGGTTGGAGAGGGAAGGGAATTTTTTTGTTCATTTGTATCCTGCCACTGCATGTCACTGAAGTCCCTGAGGAAGTCCTACACACGGACAAAACGCGTAGGAGCCCTGGTGGTGACATAGAGAGACTACACATATTGTTTTATACTTTGATGTAAGTTATTAAGTTTATTTTTACTATACTTCTGAATGTGCACTACAATTTTATTGCATCTTTTCTCTTGATCACATACATCCCAGCCAAACCATGGAGAATTGAACATAGATGGAAGAATTGAATTGTATCTTGAACGGGAATTTATGCTAAAGGCTTTCTTACTTCAGTGAATGTGTGAGTGGCCATTTGTGAATTCTACACTTGTGGTTTTATTCATATAAACAGTTATACGCTATGTTCTCTTGTTTATCATTGGTTTAGCAGATCATCCCCTATTTTTTGTACATATTCCCTTCTATGCTGATTGATTTCCTGTTGAACGAACTCGGACTGGACTTCAACTCTGCTTCTGGATTATTCCCTCCTATACTTATTGTTCGTCTGTTACAGAACCCGGATTGGATAAAAGACTCTGCTACTGGATTAACCCCTTATACCTTGTCTAATCATCCATTACCGATCAAGAACTGACATTTGACCTTTCTGTTTGGCTGTCACATTGGTTTGCCATGCTGAAACTGCTTTTTTTTTTGTTGGCATTTGTTGAAAAAAAACATGACAGATTAATTGTGCCCTACATTTGTCAAACCTATTTAAAAAAAAATGGAAGCCACAAACCTAGCCCAGGGGTTTCAGTCTCTTCAATCACAAGTCAAACACCTTGCTCGATATATTCAGGAGTTCCACCTTAAACTAAATGATATCCAAACTCAAGTTGAAAATTTAAAACAACACACCCTATCTCATCAACCTGAACCTCCTATATACCCCCCTGGAAAATTCTCTGGAGATCGTTCTATTTACAGGGGGTTCATACATGAATGTAAACTCATGTTTTCTCTGAGACCTAGCACTTTTAGGAATGATGATGTTAAGATAAAAAACATTATTTCCTTACTTCAGGGAGATGCTGCTAAATGGGCTTATCAACTCATTGAGTCATTTGACCCTTGCTTCTCCTCATTTGAATTATTCCTACAGGAAATGAACAAATTGTATGAAGACTCAAATAAAAGTGATACCCCTGAAACTTTATTACACTCTTTAACCCAAGGCAGAAACAATGTGGAAGAATATGTTTCTCACTTTCGTAGATTAGCTGCAGATACTTCATGGAATGAAGCAGCCTTAAAATACCAACATAGATTGAGGTTGTCTGAAAATCTTCGAGATGAACTTGCAAGGACTGGTATTCCTAGCACCTTAAGGGACTTAATTGATATCACTATCCAATTAGACAGGAGGTTTAGAGAAAGAAGAAAAGAAAAAAATAATTTCTCTAATTCTTCCAGACAATTCTCTTCAACAGTCTAGACAATTCTCCTAAGCCCTCAAAAAACAAAGCCATGGAAATCGGACACATTAGATGTCCTTTATCTGAAGCTGAAAGAAACAGAAGAAAAACCCTGAATTTATGCATGTACTGTGCATCACCTTCACGTCTATTACCAAACTGCCCTCTTTCTAAACGGACCAAGACGGGTAAATGCCCTTATACTCATTGTTCCGCAGTTTCTAACAAAGAAGGTAATTGTTTTACAATGACATCTTTTTCTCTAAATGGTACAAAAGGTAGAAATTATTGTGGTAATTGATTCTGGTGCCATTGGTTGGTTGCTTTTTAAATAAAAAAATGTTGCTACCTACAATATTCCTGTCTTTCAAAAGGAAAGACCTTCTCAAATTGTTCTTTTTGATTGCTCTGTCTCAAACTCAGGTGCTATTCATTTCCAAAGTCTCCCTCTTAAAATGACCATTAATAATAACCACCTTGAAGATATCACTTTAGACATTGTTAATACCTCTATATTTTATGCTGTTTTGGGCCTCCCTTGGCTGAAAAAGCACAACCCTTTAATCAATTGGTCCTTAAATACCTTTACCTTTAATTCGGAATATTGCACTTCCACCTGTATGAAATACTCTCAAATCGGTTCTATGTCCTCTATGATCCCTGATCATTACATGGAATTCAGTGATGTCTTTCGTGAAACAGAAGCTTCTAAACTCACTCATTCAAGACCCTATAACTGCCCTATTGATCTCATAGAGGGTTTTACTATCCCTTACAGCCATATTTATCCCTTATCCGAACCTGAACTCAAAATATTAAAAGAATACTTGGATAATAATCTCAAAAAAGGGTTCATCAGACATTCTTCATCTCCCACTAGAGATGGAATATATTTTGGTGACTAATTAAGATGGAACAATCCGTCCTATTATTGATAATCGTAAATTGAATAAAATAACTATAAAGAATCTGTATCCTCTCCCTCTAATACCTGAGATTCTTGAAAGGATAAAAGTTGCTAAATGGTTTACCAAATTAGATCTTAGAGGATCTTATAATCTTCTTCCAATTCAAACAGTGTATGAATGGAATACTGCTTTCCATACAAGATATGGACACTTTGAATACTTGGTCATGCCATTTGGGCTCTGTAACGCCCCTGCTTCTTTCCAGAATTTCATACATGACATTTTTTAAGATTTTCTAGATCAGTTCATTGTAATTTATTTGGATGATATTCTAATTTTTTCTCATACTCTTAATGAACATCGTATTCATGTCAAAAAGGTTCTCAATAGACATAGGATGCATAAATTATTTGCAAAACCTGAGAAATGTGTCTTTGATAAGAATACGATCCCCTTTTTGGGATACATCATCTCAGATTCTTCTATAAGCATGGATCCCCACAAAATAGAAGCAATACAAAATTGGCCTATTCCTAAATCCAAAAAAGAAGTTCAAAGATTTATTATTTTTTCAAATTTCTATAGAAAGTTCATGAAGAATTTTTCAACTATTGTATCGCCATTGACAGTCTTATGTAAAATGTTGATGATTGATATATATACGTCTTTTGTATATATAGTCTTGGGCCAAATGCTCGCCACAATAATATATGTCTATATTATTGAAAAGTACTAATACGCAATCTGACTTACGGTTTCTTCAGGTTTATTCTTAATTACAGATACATAATAAAACATAATAAATTATGTTACAGGATAATGGACATTCAACAGCAGATGGTAATTGCTGTACTTCTGATGGGAGAGTCACATTGTTGTACAGAGCCAAGAGCCAAGCCAAGACCCAGAGCGACCTCGTGTCCCTCTGTTACTATAAAGATGTGCTCATACTAACGTCAGCATTTAACTCTAGCCATATAAGGACAAGACCCCCACATCCACATTCCAGAGCTCTCGGACAAAGAAAGCCTTGTGACTTATTGACCATCTGTTACTTATGTCAATCCACACATCCATATATAATCAATAGAAACATAGAATATGCAATATTCTACATTCCCTCTGTTTATGGTTTGTCTTAAAACCATAACACAATGTAACTAACCTGTCCATTCATACATCACTTGTATCACATTCATTGAGCATAGAACAAGATGTAGTCACAACTTTCTATTATAGAGAGTTCTTAGAAGGTCGAGTTTTTATCCCTCATACTGCTTACTTTACTTCAAAACTCCCTCTAATTCACAGACTGTTTCTGACAATCTCTCACAATTACAGCATGTACTCTCTGTTACTTTGTTACACTGTTCATTTAAATCTGATTTGTCTTCTGTTAATCCATTCAAATCTATTTCTTTTTCTGCTGATTCTAAATTTTCTTGACCTGCATCTCGTTTACAAATCAATGCATTGTAAGTACAGACTAGTTTCATAACATTTCTGATCTTTTGTTTTTTCTTATTAACAAACAATTTCTTGTCAATTTCACTACTGGCAATTTCACATTGTGTGTATAAAGATTGCCACAATACAGCATCTGAATAGCTGCTATTACATGCAAACTGCAATTTACTTTTCTCTGCAATATCATTTATGAATTCCATGTTACTCACCAGATCAGTTATCTCTGTCTAATTCGTTGCTTCATCCACACAGCTGCGCAGTTCTTTGCTTGATTTTGGATGCCTGCCAATCTCTGCCACGTGCTTGCTTCTAGAATTCACGTTGTATCTTGTGCTTTTTGTCTCAGTTGTAGAAAATAGTCTTGTACAGTCTTTGTGATTTGAAAACTTTATTTTTCTTACAAACCACAGTTCTTCTATGATAGTCAGTCTAGATTCTTTTTTTCTCTTCAAGTTTGTTTTCCCAGTTCCAAAATAGCTTTGTAACTCGATTCTTCTCTCTCCCCCCTTGAAGTGGGAACAAAACTTGAATAGAAGACTGGCTGGCTAGCCAATGTAAAATGTTGATGATTTATATATATACGTCTTTTGTATATATAGTCTTGGGCCAAATGCTCGCCACAATAATATATGTCTATATTATTGAAAAGTACTAATACGCAATCTGACTTACGGTTTCTTCAGGTTTACTCTTAGTTACAGATACATAATAAAACATAATAAATGATGTTACAGGATAATGGACATTCAACAGCAGATGGTAATTGCTGTACTTCTGATGGGAGAGTCACATCGTTGTACAGAGCCAAGAGCCAAGCCAAGACCCAGAGCGACCTCGTGTCCCTCTGTTACTATAAAGATGTGCTCATACTAACGTCAGCATTTAACTCTAGCCATATAAGGACAAGACCCCCACATCCACATTCCAGAGCTCTCGGACAAAGAAAGCCTTGTGACTTATTGATACCATCTGTTACTTATGTCAATCCACACATCCATATGTAATCAATAGAAACATAGAATATGCAATATTCTACATCTTACTAAACAAGATTGCCATTTTAAATGAAGAGAAAAAGAAAATATAGCTTTCACTACTTTAAAAGAAAGCTTAATTTCCGCTCCTATACGCAAACAACCAGACCATTCTCTCCAATATGTTTTAGAGGTAGACGATTCAGACATCGCTATTGGAGCGATTCTCTCTCAACTGAATGATCCCTCTTATCACGGAAACTCACTGTAACAGAATCACCAGAACTCCGACCGAGTACCTTCTGTTGATGGACGCTTCCTAGCTTGCGCCCGAGGACCACAAGCACTGCACCGGACACCACAACCACTGCCTACTCCACAACCGCCGTAGCTTAACTGGAGTCTCGCCGTCTTCCTTCCACCCTGAATCAGCCTCTGTCCTCCAGGGCCGTGTGGTGAAGACCTCTCCTCCAGGAGATAGGATCAGGAACAGCTCTTAAAAGAGCTAAGTGATTAAAGCTCAAGGGAGTATGCAGAGCATAGCAATACCCAGTGTGATTATAGCAGTTCCCTCCAATAACGAGACAAGGCTACGTATTGAGAGTGTGATGCTTTTGTGTAATACCTCTTTAATTGGAACTCAACTGCAGAATTTTCTGAGGGCAGGAACAGTAAGTTTCACCTCCTATTATATTGGAGTGAAATCAGTGGACTGTATCTTTAAATAATAATCAGGAAAATGCCAGGTTAGTTCCAACTTGAATTTTAATAATGAAGTTTTAGCCTTAGCAGCAATCCTTATTTGTCAACAGAGAGTTTAAAGAAATTAAATACTATAATTAATTGATATGACTTGCTTTCCTTGACAAAAGATTTACTTAACTTAGAAGCACTCTGGCACTGGAAGGGTTAATTCACCCAATGGAGGAAGAGGAAGGAGTCTCTTTTAACAAACTGCAGTTTAGTAGTGAGAGAAAGGAAGTCCGTTTGTCCAAGCCGAGGTCTGAGAGAGGAGAAGGTAGAATTCCGTTTACAAGCCGAGGTCTGGGAGAGGAGAAGGTAGAATTCCGTTTATAAGCCGAGGTCTGAGAGATGAGAAGGTAGAAATCCGTTTACAAGCCGAGGTCTGAGAGATGAGAAGGTAGAAATCCGTTTACAAGCCGAGGTCTGAGAAGTGGAGCCGGTAGCATCGAGTAGAGCAGCTGATCTCACTGCCGCACCTGAGTGAATAATCCAGCACTTTGAATCTGGCGCGGTCTTCCTAAGTATCGTGGAAAGACCGCGTCAGAAAAAAGGGGCGGAGCTAAGCGCCGTGAACCCGGAAGTGGGTTCCGGCGGCAGCATGAATGTTAGGTATACCTGACAGTACCCCCTTCTCATGGGGCATCCTCTGGGTGCACTTATTTCGGTTTAAAGGGGTAGCGTTTGTGAAAAGCATCAACTAATCTCTTTGCATGAACATTAGATGAATCTTCCCAGGTATCTTCATCAACTCCATAACCTTTCCATCTGATAAGGTATTGTAAAGAGCCACGGTGGATACGAGAATCCAAAATCTTATGAATTTCATATTCTTCTTCACCTTGGACGATGATAGGTTC